GTGGGACAGGGTCCACGTGAGCAGGGCCCTGCGCATGGGTGTGTTGGCATAGAGGCGCCGCGAGCGCTGGATGTAGATCTCGATGTTCTTCTTCTCCAGCGAGGCGTAGAGCTCCTCTATCTTGCGGGCGGGCAGCAGCTCGCCGTGCTGCTTGCGCAGCGCGGCCACCTTGGCGTCCAGCAGCTGCAGCCGCTTGGCGCTCTCCTTGCTCTCGTCCTTCATCAGCTCGTAGTTGTCTCGCAGCTTCACCTCGAAGACATCATCCAGGAAGACCCAAGAGAAGTGCTCCACCTTGAGCAGGAGGTCTGGGGGCAGAGCGGTGCTGGCAGGGCGCCCGCGCCGGTGCAGCCCTTTCAGCCACTTCTGCACACCCATGGCAGCGTCCAGCGTGCGGGAGAAGTCATATTGGTAGGGGAACTCAATGGTCACGCTGGCAAAGGAGAAGGCCCAGCCACGGTTGCGGAGCGTGCGGAGGGAGGGGAAGGCGCAGCGGTGCAGGATGACCTCCTCCAGCTCTGGCAGCAGCCTCACCTCCACCTCCTTGAAGCTGAAGATGCTGTGTCCATCAAAGCCGGCCGCCAGCTCGGGGCAGTAACCGTGCAGGGCACCACCGTGCCAGTTCACCGAGGCCCGTTCAGCAGCCAGGCTGATGTAGTTGGTTTCCGAGACAAAGGCTGTGACTTTGGCAGAGCTCAGCTCTAGCAATAAGGACAGAAGTCTCTTGGGGGGAGTCCCATCTGCTTGCAGGGGGCCTGGCACCTCCGCAGGGGCAGCCGCCTCCAGCACGGGGCCCTCCAGGGGCAGGGAAGGAGGTGGCCTGCGGCCCAGGGCGCTTCGCAGGGCGTCGTGGCACTGCAGGGTGGCCAGGGTGTGATGATACAAGTGCATGTGATCAGGTGGGCTCCACAGCACTGCCAGCCCCTCGCCGCACTGCACCTATAGCAGCGAGAGCAAACAGCACCCAAATTACTGCCAGATCCAGCCCCAGCACAACCCCCTTCCCCTCTCCGTGCCCTTGCAATGCCAGCCCACCCTCCCTCTGCCCAGTCCATCCCAGCCCCTCCAGTGCAGAGCCCAGAGCCTTCACCAACCTCCAGCGAGCGGATGCTGCTGTGGTAGGTGACAGAGAGCATGGAGAGGCTGGCCACTGGGTTGGGGATGGCAGGCGCTTTGCAGCATGGCTGCATCTTCTCCGTGATGCTCTTCACCAAGGCCAGCACCATGCCCTGGACACTGACCGTGCAGCTCTCGGCACTCCCCAGGACAGTCAGCGTGTCCAGCCGCAGCTCCAAGGCACCTGGGCAGAGGGCACATCAGCACTGCAGGCTCAGAGGAGGAACATGCCACACTCCTTTGACCACAGAGTGCTCTTAGAGCCTGGATGCTACAGCTGCACTTACCAACCAGAGTAGAGACTGTAAAAAGATTAACATCCTCCACCTTCAGATCCACCTTCCACAGCAGCCCCCAGGGCTCTCCTGGGGAAGAGGGTGGCTCCTCTGCAAGCTCTGCTCCGCTGGGCCGCGGGCAGAACAGGGGCAGGACCCGGGCCAGGCACTCGGTGCAGGTGTCTGACGACTCCACTTGCAGCCCGCGGATGGTGCAGTCCAGGAAGAGTGTGTCCGACTGAGCACTGGACATGCCCAGCGGCTGGTTGTAGCTGCCCTGCAGGACACACAGGCCAAGCACTCTTGGCATCCAGGATACTGTCTGCCACAGCACGTCCCTGTGCCAGTTGCAGATAGTTGCACCGAGCCACCCCTTGGCTCAGCACTCACCTGCAGGTTGAAGGAGTCGAGGATGAGGGCCTCTCCCCACACGTGCATGTTGGGGGGGTGCGGGGCGCGCTGGATGTGCGAGTCGTTGCCCACGCGCCAGCAGAGATGGTCCACGGCCAGCACTGCCCGCTGGTGCACGCTCTGGGGCCGCAGGTGCTGATAGTCTGCGGGCACAGAGCGGGAGGCCAGTGCTGGCAGGCTCATGGTTGCCCGACAAGCATGCCAGCTGGACCAGCCCAGGCAAGGCGCAACTCAATTGGGCTCGATGATCTTGAAGGTCTTTTCCGACCAGGATTCTATGATTCTAACTCAGACATAACCAGGTCGCAGGGCAGCAGCCCCATGCCAGGCACTGAGACCTCCCCATTCCCGTGCCACAAGCCCAGGTCCCAGACAGTCCCTCTGCCTCTGTGAAGCCCCTTCCCAAGGAGGGCCCGGAGAGCCCGCAGGCACCCAGGGACGGCCACCGGACTGTACCTGCAGAGATGGAGTTGAAGCCCAAGGCGAAGGGCGGCGTGTCCCCCAGCTGCACCGATACGTTGACGTTGGATAGCGAGGCACTCAGGATGACGGGTGCTATGATCTGGGGACAGCTCCTGCACAGGACAAACATCGGCTGTTACTGGAGCACTGCGTCCCAGAGAGCTCCTGAGGGTGCAGGGCCCCAGGGACACCTTTTCTGTGACTCCCTGCCGGCCTCCACGCAGCCTCCCTCTCCCGTGGCTGTGCACAAGGCAGAGAAGGCGCCGTGTGTCCGGGCACCCTGCCAGGGAGCAGCCGGTCAAGCTGCAACCCCAGCAGCTGCGCCGAGGCTGAGTTTACCTGCCCTTGTGACCTTGGCTGGGGACAGGCACTCCCTGGCTCCTGTATTCCTGTGCCAACAGGCCCAGCCAGTGCGAAAACTCTTGGTGGCGATAGTGGATGATGCAGGTGTTGAGCAGCACAGCAGCCGAGAGGTCAATGGCTGTGACCTAGAGGGAGGAGAGCACAGGGTGGCTGCAAACTCGTACCAGGAGCCGAGCCGGCCCCTCCAGCAACAGGAGGGCGCCTGGCGCTCACTCACTTGCACACTCGTCTTCAGGGAGTTGAGGCACACGATGCGCTGGCGGCTCTGGGACAGAAGAAGGCCATCTGAGGAGAGAGGAGCAGAGATGAGTGACAGAGGGGGACACGACTGCAGCCCTGCTCTGCAGGGGCCCTCTAGGCTACTTGCCCTCCAGCTGGAGGTCTACACTCATTTGGTCCAGATCTGAGGTGGGGGTGAAGTTGCGCAGTGGGATCTGCTCCTCTTCGCGCTGATATAGAAATTGCAGCAGCTTCAGGCTCCAAGTGAGGTACCTGTGTGAGAAGCAGGGAGTCACCACCAGAAGGGAACCGTGATGATCTGCATCTCCCTGTCCCAGCTACAGCCCAGCACATTAGGAGATAATCCCACCAGACTGCCATACTGGAGAGCCAGCTCACCATCTTCCCTCTTCCCAAACAACCTGATATCAAACCACACTCCTCCTCACTAGAGTGGTCCCCAAAACACACTCTTGTCAGTCTGGCAGGGCTGGCACAAACAGGGAATGGCACAGCTGTCCCCAAGTCCACATCTCCATAATGATCAGGACTAAGACAACCTGCCCCTCCACCTGTCCCCTCACCTCTTCTGGCTGTTCACAGACAGCACCACACTGGTGCTCTCCAGCTTCACCTCCACCTTCCTGGGGATGAGCTGCAACGTGTCCCTGCTCAGCAAGGACACGAGCTTCGGGGGCTGCCCCAGGCCTAGGGGAGGAAATACAGGGTCACAGCAAGGCTCTTGTCCAGATCCCTCTGACCGCAGAACTGTGGGGGCTGCCAATGCTCAACGCCTGCCGCGTCCTGACCTGCGCTGGGCTGGTCCCCCACGCTGCCGTCCCGCGTCCCGGCAGTCACTCGCTGCAGCAGCTGGCTGTACAAGAGCCCTTCGTGCAGCTCTGCCTGCAGGGTCCGGACACGCAGCCTGACACCCACCAGCCGCCGCTTGATGCTGATCTCCAGTGAGAGAGAGAGCGCCAGGGCCACCTCCGCCAGGCACGTGTCATCCTGCACGGGGACAGGGGCAAGGAGTGCGTGGGGAGCCTCTCCTCCTCCCTGCTGGTGGATGCTGCACATGAAGCCCTGAGCACAGCACGAAGCTGAGCACTCTGCAGGGCTGCACTGCAGGGCACCAAGCCCACGTTTAGCATTGCCTGGCCTCAGGGAAAGGCTGCTCTGAAACAGGACCTCCTTGGCCCCAAGTACTGCATTTCTCCCCTCCCCAGCACTCACCAGCTGGCTGCTCCGTAGCACTTTGCTGTTCACCTTTGTCAAGCTCACCTCACAGTTCAGGCTGGGGAGACCACAAAACACATTAACATCGCAGGCTCTGCTGCTGCCTCCAAGCCGTGCAGGGAAACAGGGCTGTGCCAGGGGAGCAGAGCAGGACATGAGCACAGCGCTACCTCTTCCCGTCACTGTCCAGGAGGAGACGCGTCTTGCTGGCCCGAATGTGCCACAGAGACTCAGAGGTGGCCACATGTAGAACCATGATGTTGATGGAGTCCACATGGATGGAGAAGAGCTGGGAGAAAGGTGGTAGGGTGAGGGCTGTGGGAGAGCACAGCAGCAATGTCCTCTCCAGGAGCCAGGGCCTCACCTGGCTGAGGACTCTCAGCAGGGAGGGCTTAAGAGACAGGTCCCGGCTTTCCTCTCCATCAACGTCTTTGGGAGCCTCTGGGTAGGAAGGCTGGAATGCAGGGCCCTTCTGGAGATCCGTGCGGATTCGCACCTCACCAAAGCACAGTTCAAAATAGCGTCTGGCAGGGAATACCAAGGACTGTCACAAGAGCTGGCACGCTGCGCTCTGGGCCCTGCCCCAGGGACGTGCGGGACCAGCACAAGAGCATCCACGCGACACTGCCATGCCAGAGGACAGCGAATGGCTCCTGCACAGCGCAGACCCCAGAAAAACAGGCTTTGCAGGAAGGTACTAAGGGCTGAGCCCAACCAGCAGGGCCAGGGATGAGGCAGACCCCAAGCAAAGCCAAGAGAGCAGGGAAGGGGCCGGGGTACATACGGCAGCTCCCGGCTCAGCTTGCTGGAAATCCAGATGCTGTCGATCTCCTACAAGGACACACAGGCAGGTCAGGGCAGTGACAGCCCACTCTGCGCTGTGACACTCGGACGCTCCCGCTCTGCCCACAACAATCAGCATCACTCGGGATGTGCCACGGAGCAGCCGAGGATCCGAGAGCTCAGCCGGGGGAGGAAGAGCCCGGGA